AAAAAAAAAAAAAAAAGACATTAATCTGCTGCTGCTAGAGCTAGTGCACTTGGACTTCCCTAACATCCTTGTTTGCCCTCTCTCTTTTAGGCACAACAACACTGAGCACCCCATCTTTCATCTCAGCTTTGATCTCTTCGACTTTAGCATCTTCCGGAAGCACAATGCTGGTGTCGTAATACCCATAGCTACTCGACCACCCTTCGTCCTCCTCTTCCTCCTTCTCCTCCTTGTGCTCCCCTCTTATGTGTAACACTCCTCCATCCTCCACCATTATCTTCACATCTTCCTTCGCCAATCCCGGCATTTGGTACTTGAGACTGTACCCTTCCTCGCGTTCTTTCAACTGCCACGGGGACAAATTCTCCATGGCCCGCGCCATGTTCTCCGTGGCTTCCACCAATCCGCGAGGGAACAACTCTTGCATCAAAATCGTAACAGTGATTTAGTGGGACTTGAGTCTTAAAAATCGATTCGAATCAGTTTCCAATGAGCCAAACCACTTAAGCTAGATGACACAATTCAAAAATTATAACAAAAAAAAAGGCGTTTTAAGGATTACCCCAGAGCGCAGGAACGAAATCGCGATTGTTTCTCCTCCAAAGGCCCCCCTTACGGCTCCTCCGCCTCCGCAGGAGCTTTGATTTCTTGCCGCCGTCGGCCACCGCCACATCCACAGCTGCGCTGGGGTTCTCCTCCTCCGGCGCGGAGGAGAGCCGCCGCAGGAGTTGAGAACCCCAGCTCCTCTGTTTCAGCGCGGGAATGCTTCGGGCAGGGGACGACGCCGTTTGCTGCAAGTTCTTCACAACCCACCGAGCCAAAGCCATTATTATGTTCGAAAATTACTGTTCTTTTGTGTTTGTGTTACCACACAGCTTTTGTAGGACGTCGAGTTTTCGTGGAATTTAAAGTAAAACGGTGTGGTGGCAAAAGTGAGGAGAAACCACGCGAGGCTTCAAGTAGATTATTATGAGATGCTCGGAATTTTGAAGAGTGTTCGAGAGGATTATTATTACCGGGAAATGGTAAGGTCTCGTTACGGGACTGTTCTATTAAAGTTGTAACCGTTAAATCATCATGTAATTGTCAGAGATAATTGATCTAACAGTTACAAACCCGACAGAATAGTGCCGTAACGAGATCGTATAATCTTCCATTATTATGTCTCACCACTATCTTATATCAGGCCACGTAAATTCTAGTGAATATAGTATTTTTCAATCCTTTTTCACAGTGTACTAACATGTAACCCGTGCGATACACGGGCTGTGTTTATTTTGCAAAAAAAAATATGAATTGAATGCTATTACTTAATGAGTTATAATACGTATGACATAAGCCATCATAAATTTTTTTGTTGGTAACCATTATTAAAAGTTTCATTGTACACAATATTATTAGTTTGATTAGAGGGTAACTCATCGTTCTCACAAACTAATATTTTCAATTTCTTATTAGTTACACCTGAAACAACAAGGTATATAACTGACTTTGACTAAAAAATGATTTCTTCAACCCAATATGCGATAAAGATTGACCATGACAATTTATGCGTTTTGGTATTTTCGTGTAAGCTGTTTATATCGTATGAGTTTGATTGGATATTTATAAGCCCCACATTTGTGTCAACGCAAAAAAATTTAATAAATACAATTAAATTGATAATATTTGTGGATGTGGTAAATATCAGATATTTTATTTTTTCGAATGATACCAAAAGGAGAAAGATTTTCGCCACGAAAATTGTGATACCATATAAAAAAAAGATCGTTAAAAATATCTGATTTAGTTAGTATGTAGATGAATAGAAACAAATATTATGGAATTTTAAAAAAAATTGTTACTATGATTAGTGGATTGTGTGTTTATCTTTTTTATTTTCTTAGTCTCATTTAATCACCAAGTTGATTCCAGTATTTGGAATAAATTTGAATATAATCTTTAAAATAAATTTGTTACGTTTAAATGATCATATGGATTGTATCAAATGCATAACAATATGTAAACAAAAAAAATATGTTCAAATAAGAGGTTTATTTATATGAATATAAACACTTGTAAATTAAAACTAAAGATTGCATTTAATATTTATCTTTAAAAAAAAATTGTTACCGTGATTATTGATTTTATGTTATTTAGTTTATTCTCTTAGTCTCATTTTATGGCTAATTCATTTCCAATATTTGGAATAAATATAAAGTGTAATCTTCGAAATGATTTTTTTAGGTTTAAAAAGAGATTTAGATTGTATCTATTGCATAACAATATTAAAAAATAAATAAAATTGTTATGTTCAAATAAGAGATTTATTTACAAATAAAAACACTTAAATCAGATTTCCATAAAGATTGCATTTCGTATTTATCTTTACTATTATAATATTCTCATTTATAGTTCAAAACAATTAATAAGAATAATCGTGTGTGAATCAGATTTTATTAGAAAAAAAAGGATAAAATATTAATGAAATTTGATTTATGTATATCTAAAAGATGTTTCACCACAAAAATCGTGATATAATAAAAAGAAAAAAAAAAAAAGAATCGTTGAAAAATCTGATTTAATTTGTATGGTTTGTAGTTGAAAATAGCGAATTTTAATAAAAATAAGTGCTTATTATGGGAGTAGAATATAACAAATATAAAAAATAGATTTATTTGTATGAACAGAAAGATGTGTCATATTTATTAAAAAATTATTTTTATTAACAATGAATTTATAAAAAATCAGTTTTTATAAAGAAAAAACAAATTCACAAATTAAATGAGATTTGTGCATATCTAAAGTATTCTTTTACCATAAAAACGTGCTACCATAAAAATAATAGTTTACCGTAAAAAAAAAAATATTTTGAAAAAATTATTTTTATTATTTTAAGTATTTTATTTTAAATATTATTTATTTATTTTATTTTAAATATTATTTTAATATACTCATTAACAATTAATCATACTACTTTTTTCAAAATAACCAAATCAAACTAAAAAATCCAACGAAACCAAGAATTTTCATATCCAAACATGCTCTAAGTACAGAACCAATCTCTTTTTTCATGGCTACTCTCTGCAGAAATTCTATCGCACCACATGTGGCACCATATTATGGTGCCACAACATGATGTGACACATTATGATTGGTGCCACAACATGATGTGTGATAGTTGTGGCACCAATCATAATGTTCCACATCATGTTGTGGCACCATAATATGGTGACACATATAGTGCCATAGAATTTCTGCTACTCTCTGTCCTCCAATTAATTTTTTTTTTTTTTGTGTTTGGTATTTAAAAGGTGTGTGATAATTCTTTTTTTGGAAGGTCATTAATTATTTTGGTGGGAAAATCTTACTAAAATTGATTTAACCTTCTTATTATATATTTATATATATAGTTTTTTTAATTGTGTCAAAAAAATACTACGAAATTAATATTAGGATCTTAATTGAAAATATATGTAACTAATCAATATTTTAATTAAGTCAATTTATAACTAATAAATATTAGTCAATAAGTACACAAAAAGTAATTAATGGTATATATAAATTTTGCTAATAGATAAAGGCTAATTATATGCTAAACATAGATGAAAATCTATTTCCCGCCTAAAATTATGTCAATTATAGTAATAAAGATTAATCTATTATTTAGATATAGATTACTAGATTAATTTTTGTCTCTGTCTTTTTTTTTTTTGTCACTTTAAAAAGTGCGAATAAATTGTGTAATGAATATACCATAATTGTATGATAATATTTATTTTTGTATATATATATAATTGTCAACAAGTTATTAAATAAAACCTAATAAATAATATATAATGAATTTTACCTATGTAACAAATCATTAAATAAAACATGATAAATTTTACCAATGTGACATTAATTCACTCTATCTCATTAATGATAAAATATTTCATTTATTTATTATTTTTTTTGGATTAATTAAGACAAAAAATTTTACATTTTGTATTAATGGAGTAGTTATTATATTTTTTTATTGAACTATATAATAATTATTATTAAAATTAGTAATTATATTTTACACTAAATGATTTACATGAACATAAGAGATTATATTGCAAAACATTTTGTTCATGTTATGTATTCTACAATCAATATTATATTTTTTTCATCTGATTATTGAACGATTGTTTTTTAAATAAATTAAAGTTTTAGTGTCATAGATTTTTTTTTTAAAAAAAAGTCGCATAAGAAATCGCTATAATATAATATTTTTCAACTAATTAATTGGTCATGATCCACTCAAAATTTACAAAAGTTACAATATTTATTACATTTTATGCAATCAATATAGTGATTCGCAACAATCAAATCGTTATGTATTACTTATTTTAACCAATGATCAAATTTTAAAATATACCACTATTATCTAACTTGTATTTCAATATTATATACAAAAATGTAACTTATAATACTCTATGTTTAAAATATAATACTACTATCTAACTTATAATTTTAATATTATGCACATACAAACAACTTGTAATATTTATCTACAACTATGTAAATGCACATGGTCGAATACTAATTATGTCAAAGTTAAAAGTACCAAAAGTATTTGCATAACCTTTGCACTTTTCTTGATAAAAAAATTAGATTTTTTTTTTTTTTTTTTGTTCTAAATGATAGTAATCTCATATCATAGAAACAAAGAAAACAAACGAAGGACTCACTAGTCCTTACAAAAACAAATGGAGAACCACTCCTACCAGGTGGCCTAGACCAAAACAACAAAGCACTATAGGCATAGGCTACGCTATGAGACCTAAACCACCACCAAACAAACCAAACAACACAAACACCCTAACACAAAAAACTAGAAAACGACTCCCAACTGAGTAATAACACCCCCAATTGAGTAATGAAACAATCCCCGACGGAGTAATGAGGAACTGAGGCCAAACGCCCAAACCAAAAACACAACACAGACACTAACAACACAACACCTAAACAAACGATACTAATAACACAATACTAAAACAAAATAACAACTAAGCAAAAAAATTAGATTGTTAACCATCAATATGAAAAAATTAATATATTTGTACTCAGGGGCGGATCTATACCTGGGCAACTGCATTTTGATGCTAAAGATAGGTTATGACATATTTTAATTGAATTTTTTGGTGGTTGATGGCAAAAGAGAGTATGTTCCCGCGGGCGCAAGGAAGAAGATGACTGAATTGAATTGATTTGTTTTGGTGAGTTTATGGTTGGTTTAGGTTGTAACTTGTACAGATGCATAATTATTAGTTCAAAAATCACATTAAATTGAGTTTGTTGAATGACTAACTGATTGTTGATGTTTGAATTTAGAATTTTTTTATATTAATAGAAATAAATTGTGATTAATGATTGCAGATTTACATTAATAACACTTTACTCTAGAATCTAGATGATTCTTTTTGTGTTTTTGACAAACAAAAGTTAATTTGCCTTGCTAAATTCGAGATATTTTTTTGAGAGAGATGTGTTAGCACTTGAAGACAAGCTTGATATCTACATAAGCGATATGCGAACGACTGTTAATTTTTCTCAACCTAAAGGACTCGGTGGTCTTTCGAAGAAAATGGTGGAGACAAGAAAACACATAACTTATGCATTGATCTACAAGCTTCTAACTTTGGCTTTAGTTCTTCCAGTTGCTACAACTTTAATAGAAAGACTATTTTCGGCTATGAATCTCGTGAAGAATCCACTCCACAATAGAATGGGAGATTAAATGGATGAATGATAGTTCAGTTGTTTATATTGAGAAAGATGTATTTAATAGCATTAACAAGGATGTTATAATGCATCCGTTGCA